CTCCCTCACTCACTTTCTCACTCCCTCACTGTCTCACTCTCACTTACTGGCACAGTCACTCACTCACTCACTCACTCACTCACTCACTCACTCACTCACTGCTTCACTTGCAAAAAAAACCAAAAAGTAAGTGGGGCTGAAAAGTGCTCCAGATGTTTCTACAAAGACACAAAAAAGTCAAGTTTAAAAAAATTTGTAATTTTCACTTTATGGTTATATGGCATTATATAAATATCCCTAACTGACCATTGTTTTTCAAACCAAACAGATATTTCTGCTTAAAAAAGTGTTTTTGTTCTTTTCAGAAACATAAAAATGTGCAGACCAAAAGAAATCAAGTCAGCGAAAACATTTCCTCTTAAATTTAACCCCCCTTTCCAGTAAATGCAGCCAGGTTGTTGGAGAATTCATGAAACAAAAAGAGAGTGCAAGCATGGATTGTCCCAGGGGAGGCAAATGCCCCGCAACTGAGAAAAGGGTGTTTTGAGACTGCGATTTGAGTCCACCGTCAGTGGAAAAGAAGGGAAGGCACTAAGTAGGAGGAGAGACAGGTCTGTGTCTCTGCTGGGTGCCAGACCCTGTGCTGGGTGCTTGTCTATTTGCTACGATATTTTATCCATGTAACATCTTGGGAAGTAGGTTGTTACGATCTTTGTCTATAGCTGCAGAGACAAGGTCACTGAAGTTGATAGAACTATCTGTGGCCAAGCTGGAATTGCAGCCTCAGGCTTTTCCCTCTCAGCATTGGCCTCCTGGTAGCCCTGCTGGGTAAGTGTTAAGTTGCTAACTGGAAGCTCAGCAGTTCAAACCCACCAGTTGCTCCCTAGGAAAAAGATAATGGTGTCCTTTTGTGTGCCTGCCAGTACTTGCCAGGAAAGTTTTAACAGTGACCTGGGGTCCTTCAGGGACAGGGCAGGGATACTTTTATAGGACTCTGCTGAGCCATTTCAGAGAGTCTTTCAGGTTTGCTGTAATTTGTTTAGCCAGAGTGTTTATCAACTGCCCCATTAGCCTGGTGCTTTCACTGTCTGAATACCCCTTTCCTTCTGCTCCCTCTAGCCCTTCTTCTTCTCCTCCTCCTCCCTCCTCCTCTCCTTCTTCTCTCTGTTTGAATCATCTCATTGATACTTTGGCCAAAAGTGTTAAACTGCAAATTAGGAAGGTATTTGTTTAAAATAGTTAAAATAATAGGAAATGCCATTAATAGCCACCACTCCTCTCTTTCCTAGCTTCAGCAGTGTTCCATGACTAATTGCTTATTAGCGGGTTGTCAGATATTTTCACCAACACCTAATAGTTGCCGTTGACTTTTTGTTTTGTTTTGTTTTCATTGTTGATTTTCCAAATGCTGACCCTGGATCTTGTCACTCTTTTAAGACCTTGGTGAGTTGTTTTTTTAATTTTGCAATAGTAATTGTCATTTATTTCTTTCCTTCCCTCCCTCCCTTCCTTCTTTCTCCGTTTGCAACTCCGGCAGGCCGTGTTTGATGTGGACAAGAAGAACGGGCTGACGCTGATTGAGCTCTGGGAAGGCCTGACGGTGGATGACATCAAGAAGAGCACTGGCTGTGACTTTGCGGTGAGTTTCTCTGTGAACCAATCCAGCCATCTTCCCTACCACGTGCCCCAGTCATAGGCGTTTACCGTTCATTTGCGGTTGTTTTTAGAGGTGACCTTTGCAATGAACAGGAGGGGCAGGAACGGGGCATCCAGATGAGAGCAGATGGGCGCAGGTGCTATGCACTGGCTCAGACAAAGAGAGAAGAGTCGGGGCTCAGGAGTCAGAAGCAGGTGGGCTGTGACGCAGGGATGCTGGGAAGGAAGCCCCGGTGGAGCTTGAACCAAGACTGCTTTCCGTAAAGGCTCGTTCAGCCGCTTGGTCATCAAGGGCACGCCCGACATGGACACCCCAGATGAACTAGGGGAAAGTGGATTGCACGTGGAGAAGTCGTCTTTTGGTTTTTTATGTTGAAAGTTTTTCTTTGTACTTTATTCACCTTGGTTCATTAAAGATGTTTCAAAGATCCTATACACAGAGTGACCACCTGCAAAGGTCATGTGAGATAGAAAGACCCCCTGGCTATGTGGTTATGTTGTTTGTTTGTTTTTCCTCCAAGAAAGCAGTTTCTTCTAGGAATCTTCACAGTCTCACACGGTGGTTACAGAATATCAGCTATAGCAGTATGTACAATCTGAGCTCATTGAGAATTTATAGACTGTCACAAAAATATACACATTAAAAGTGGACGCTGTGGACAGGTGCATGCCGGGGCGAGGTGGTCACTTCTTAATTCCAAACTCATCGATGACTTAGGCCTTTTCTCTTTGATTAACTTCTAAGCTTCATTATTCCATCTCTGGAAGATCATAAAATCTTGAGCGTCTGCCACTGCCAGATTTATAGCCATGAAACAGCTGTATCCTGCACTTGAAGAAAAACCTCATGCATAGAAACTCGGAACTTAACAGAGCAGATAAATATATGGAGGGGGGGGGGGTGTATCCTTTTTAAGAAACCCACAAACACCTTTTTAGAACAAAGTGAATAATACTGAAATATAGATAATAAGTTGTTGTGTTAGTCACCAACCAGTTGGCTCAGAATCATGGCAACCTTACATAGAACAGAACAAAACATTGCTGGTCACACACAGTCCTCACAAATGTGGGCCTATTTGAGCCTATTGTTGAAGCCACCGGGAACATCCACCTCATGGAAGGTTTCCCCTGATTACTTGCTTAGAAATCGCCAGCCACCTACCTTATGGGAGGTGGGAGGGAGATTCTGTTTAGTTGAAGTTAATCAAAAGGAAAATGTCTTTGGGGAAAAAAAGAAGGGATTTGATTCTTATATGCCCTTTTAAGGACAGACCTCCTAGTTAAAATCATATGTATTTCATGTGAGAAGAAAATATGTTAATGTCGTCACTAAGCAGCCAAGAGAAATTAATATGAGACATTTTTGATAAATAACACGATTTTTATATGGTCCTTTTTATGGGCTACACTCTTGGCTTTTTCCTACCAGTGCACAACAAATTTCTGTAAAAACAATTTTGTTGCATAATTTATGATCCACATATAAGGGTCCTCGATGTTGTACCAAGGTCTTTGTCTAGTAACCTTTTCTGAACGTCCCTTTGGGGGAGAAAGAAAAGTCTCCTGTCTTCACGAAAAGCCCATCTTTAATTAGCTTTTTAATATCCTCCAAGGGACTGGAGGGGGTGGGCAATAGGATTTGTTATACTTTAACAATTTAGAATTACTTAGCTCGGTGATGAAGACAAACAGTTCTTTCATCTTACCATCTTCTCATTTCAAAACATTCTCTGTCCCTTGTGTGAATGAGTAACCTCTTCTTCATCGACTAACAGGTTTGAGATCCACAGTGGTCAGTTCTCTGCTCCAAAGAGAACCTGCAAGGAAATAGCCTCATTGTCGTCTCTTTCGTTTTCCTTCTTGTGCATAAATCAGGAGTGGAAAGGATGGGTTTTTTTTAACCTGTTTTTTCTTCGCATTAACATGAATAAGTGACAGTTCTCATGTGTCCCTATGTTGAAAAATCTCTCCATGGCCCCACCTTTGTTCTACTCCCTTCCCTTCTTTCCCTTTTGGCCTTGACGTATGATTCCGTTTCCTCCAGATCAGGCTCTCGAGAGAAATGTTAGTATTTACCTCAGTATGGTCCTGAAAAAGGAGCCTTGGTGGCACCGTGGGCTGGGTATTGGGCTGTGAACCACAGGTCGACAGTGCAAACTCAGCAGCCGCTCCGCAGGGGAAACGACGAGGTGTCTGTTCCCACCGGGTCACAGTAGACTCAACGGCGGCAGAGGATTTGGGTCTGGGTTGTCCTGCAAATGAAAAGTTATGGTATCAGCCGCACAAGCTCAGCCATGGCACTGCTTGGTGAGGATTAGAGGATGGCTGGTAACTCCTTAGAAGTCTACTTGGGGAGGTAGATATGCGCAGAAATGCACATAATGGCAATGCATCGGAAATAGATGGCAGCTCGCTCCTTTGTAATGCCAGGAATCGGGGCCCATCAACTGATAAAGAAGATGCTGAGGATTTCAAGAGATTGACAGAGTTATGATGCCATCAGATTACAGGGTGTGGCAAAATTGTGGTCTCAGGCTATTGAAAAAGAACGATTGCAAAAAAAAAACGATTGCAGGGAAATATTTAGCACTTCAGAAAAGAATTACTAAGACGCAAAAGGCTTACTAAGAATTACTAAAAACCAACAAAAATGAAGCGAAACATGTCCTTTCAATAGCACTGGAAGCTTGTCGTTCGATTCGTGTTAGGTGCAGGCCAGTGGGTTCGCAGTGCGAACAACCCTCTGTATAACGGACCGAAACACCGCCCAGTCCTGGGCCACATACAGATTGCTCTTTTATGTTGGAAGCCACTGTGTCAGTCCATCCTGTCCAGGGCCTTCCTCACGTCACCACGCACGATGCCCTTCTCCAGGGACTGACCTCTTCTGAGACAAAAGTGCCATCCTTGCCTCCAAGGAGCATTCTGGCTGTGCTTCTTCCACGGTAGATCTGTTTGTTCTTGGCAGCCCATGCTACTTTCCGTATCCTTCGCTAACACCATAGTCCAACTGCACCTGTTCTTCTTCAGTCTTCCTTATCCAGTGTCCATCGTGCATGCGCGCATGAGGTGATTGCAAATACCATGCCTTGGGTCAGGTGCACCTTTGTCCCCAAAGTCACAGCTCTGTTTTTCAATACTCTAAAGAGGTTTTGTGCGGCAGATTTACCTAATGCAATGCATTGTTTGATCTCTTGACTGCTGCTTCCATGAGCATTGGTTATGGACCCAAGCAAGATTAAATCCTGGACAGCTTCAATCTCTTCTCCATTTATGATGCTGTTATTATGTATTGGTCCGGAAGTTAGCTTGTTTAAAAATGCAAAACATAATGGTCATCAAAGTTATATTCGTGATTTGTGACAGTTGGAAGAACTTTTATTTTCAATACATAGGGAGACACCAAGAGTCATGTATGTCAGGAATTCCCAAAGAGACGGTGGGAATTTTGCAGCAGAAGTGCACAGAATGACTATACTTCTGAAACCTTCACCACACTCTGAAGACAAGCTTCTGGTCAGGAGTTGCTCTTGGCCACTGTCCCCTGTAACCATTCTCTTTCAAAATGGAATGGCAGTGAAGAAAGGGACTTTCTCTGTGTGCTTCCTGAGAATTGAGTTTTCCATCTACTGAGACACAAAGAAGCTGGGAAGATAAGAGTTACAATATCACTTTTATTGGAAAGTTAGGATGGGGAGGATATAAGTGAAGTACAGAGCCACAAGGGTATGATCCCTCTAAAGGGGAAAAACTTGGTTCCCAGTGAATTGGTAGTACTCAAAAACCACAGGCTTCCTGTACATGGGAGTCTTTCCTGTGGACTTTCTACCTGGCTGAGAGCAAAACACTACATATGCCTCTATGAAGTCTGATCCCAGAGAGACAGAATAATTTAGGCTGAAAGTCCTATTGCCAGTTCCTCCACCTAAATTATGACCCATTGAAGTCACCAGGGGACATGGGGAGGCCAGAGTAATATACTAATAGGTGTCTTTTCACAGGGAAGGGAAGAAAAGAAGGTAGCCACTACTGCATCCCAGGGATGTGGACAGATAGAAACAGCTATGCCTGTTCACATTCCACAGGTGCTCAGATGTGCTGTGAAGTGACTCTTTTCTATCATTCTTTAGGCAACTGGTTCCTGGCATTTTCACGACCAAGGAGTTCTTTGGTTTATTTTTCTCCTGTGGCCCTTACATTTTGGGAGAAAAAAATAAGGAAGAAAATCAATCTGTCTCCAAGATATGTATCAAAGAATAGTTCATTTTCAAAGACTCTTAAGAGCTAACACACATTCCTTCAAACTAAACTGTGACAAGCTAATGATGAGATCGGGCACATTCAGGGGATATGGCCATAGACTATGACAAGCCAGTGAAATGTGAATTTTCTTTACTGTCGATTTAGCCTATATCTCTCAGTACAGTACTGCCAGTTATCTGATGGGCCCAAGTAGAAAGGAAGGGTAAAGAAAGCAGGTGGCATCCTACCACTAATTCCACTTTCCCTCAAATACCTTTCTCTAGTGCATAGTGAATTCAAATTATTTACTCATCCCCTTCTTTTGTGATGAAGGTAGTTGTTGTTTTTTGTTGTTGTTATGTTCTGTGGAGTCAATTCTGACTCATAGTGACCTGTGGAGATAGTAGAACTGGCTCATAGGGTTTTCTGGGCTGTCGTCTTTACTACAGCACACTGCCATATCTTTTCTCCCACCAAGTTGCTGTGTGAGTTGCAATGGGCAACCTTCTGTATAGTGTTCAATGGAATGTTTCAGTCTGTCTTTTTCTTTTAAATGTAAAAAAAAAAAATGAAAAGAAAAGTTATGCAAACATCATGTAGTAGAGTAAGCTTTTTACAGGTCATTCATTATTATTTATTGAACACTCTGGCCGTATTGAGCTATGAAATTTGAACCTAATCGAGATAATTGCTATAGATTCTTTCTACTCCCAAGAGTCTTTGTCTTGTGCTAGCAAG